GGGGGACCCGGCCACCCCCCGGCAGCCCCTGCCCAGCCGAGGGCGGCTGATCGCACCCCCTGCCAGGAGCCCAGCTCTGACAGTGAAGAAGAAGATTGTGGACAGGGCTATTCTCCTGCAGAAAAAGGTAGGATACCAGGCAGCACGGTGGGATGGGAGAGCCCATCTGCTCTGGCCAGGAGCCAGTGCGGTGCTGCATGCTGGGACGGCCCCGCACAACACCCTGCTGCGTCTAACCCATGCAGATGGGGCAGGCCACTGGAAATGAAGGGGTCTTGAAATGCCCCCCCGGCCTCTGCTAGCTGCACTCTTGAACAGTTCTTGACCCTAGTGCTTGGCGAGCTTGCCTGGGAAGCCTCGCTGTCATGCTGCCCACCCACCTGCAGCCAGCACTCACTGCTGCCCTTGCGCAATGCCAGTTTCTGCCAGCACTGGCCTCCAATCTGCAGCTCACAGACACCTGCTTTAAGGCTTGGTTTCAGTACCAACTCAGGAGGTTCCCCAAGCCACCACGAGGACACCAGAAGCTGAGTGGCTTGGTGCCGAAGCAGGAGATGAAGGGCTGTGGCAGTCCAGGATGGGGTGATACAGCCAGGACAGCTGCCCTCTGGGACACGTCCATCTGCCATAATCCCGAACGCATACACCCCCGCTTCTCTATGCCACGAGATCCCCAGGGTGGGGCCATGTGTTGTCCCAGGTCATCCACTTCCCTGTGGCCATCCTACCCACCATGGTGAGCATGCAGCTGGCTGGCCAGCCCCATTGCCAAGTCCAGCTCTACTGGAAGCTGTGGCAAGCCGTGGGGCAAAGTGACCCAGTGGTCCCAGGGCCAGCCCCAGGTAGGTTGCTAGCAGGGCAGCATGGCCGTGGGGCTGCCCCAGAACCCAAGGTTTACCCTTTCAGAACACTGATGGCAGTGCTGTTGCCCCACGGAGGATGGTAGGATGCTGGCACCTGCCTTTCTCGCCATGGCATCCTGGGTGCTCAGCCTTCATCCACGGCCCTGTCTCTGCTGAGACACAGCAACAGATACAGCAGGCGTCTTCTCCAGCCCACTCAGTGTTTGTCAAGAGCCCTTGCCACCTGCTTGAGAGGACACAGGTTGTTTAACACCTTTTCCAGGAGAAAGGCTCCCTCGGGGCTCAAAACCGGCTCCCTCTAGGGGAGCAGAACAGCCCTTTGCTTCGGGGCTGGAAATACAAGAAATGGAGGGCTGGAAAGAAAACCCAGGATATGCTATTTCTGTCCCTGCAGAGAGCAAACACAGGCCTGGCATCAGCACAGGCAGCCCGGCTGCCATCTAGCAGCATCCACTGGATGGCTAAGCACATACTGAAAGCATGCAGGGAAA